GAGAGAGAGAGATGAAGGAGCTGCTGCTCCTCTTTGTTGTGGCTGCACATTTGAAGACGTTTGCTTGTCTGATCAGTGAGAGCAAAATCCATTTCTCTACTGGTCTTTGGGTGTGGCACTATTTGTTCTCTCTTTTAGTATCGGTGTGTGAGTGACTTGGGTGTATTTGGGATTTGGGTTGTGAGAGTTAAACTCTGTAATTCCTAGGGTAGGTGTGAGAGGATTAATCTCCTTTGGTTGTAATCTTTTTTGGGATACTAGTGGAATTTCTCGCTGTCTTCGAACTGGATGTAGGCTACACACGGGCCGAACCAGTATAAATCCTTGTGTCGTTTGGATTTCTGTATTTCATAGTTTGCTCTTGTTGTTTCAATGGTTTCATATCAACCACCACAGTGCAATCCGCTTCCGCTGCGCACAACAGTACGGACTTAAACAGGCTCCACAAAGCTGGTTTCGAAAGTTTTCATCTGCTATTTGTGGCATTGGCTTCAAGCAGTCACGTGCTGATTACTCTTTATTCACACATGCTCATGGAAGCTCTCTAACTATTATATTGCTTTATGTAGATGACATGATAATCACAGAAAATGATGAAGAAGCCATCTGTAAATTGAAGCACTTTCTTGGCAGTCAATTTCGAATCAAATATCAAGGACCCTTGAGATACTTTCTTGGTGTTGAGGTGGCACGATCAAAATCTGGAATTTCTATTTGCCAACGAAAGTACACCATTGACATTTTGGCAGAAGCCGGATTACTTGGAGCCAAACCAGCCAAAGTTCCTATGGACCACGATCTGGTGTTGTTATCTACAGGGGAGCTACTCAAAGATCCTACTCGATATCGACGGCTAGTTGGAAAGCTGATTTATCTCACAATTACAAGACTAGAAATCACTTATGCAGTCAACACCCTCAGTCAGTTCATGCAAGTACCTAGACATCAACATCTTGATGCAGCATATCGCCTTCTCCACTACCTAAAGGAAGCTCCAGGTCAAGGGTTACTTTTTCCTTCACAAAATCAGTTAAAGCTTATTGGTTATTGTGATGCAGATTGGGCCAGATGCCCAATCACACGCAGATCAGTCACAGGTTATTGCATATTTCTTGGTAATGCACTTGTATCCTGGAAAAGCAAGAAACAAGTTACAGTTGCACGATCATCAGCTGAAGCCGAATATCGTTCAATGGCTGCAACTTGGCTGAGATATTTGTTGCAAGATCTGCGTGTTGATCATTCTGAACCTGCAAAGTTATTTTGCGATAATCAAGCCGCCTTGTATATTGCAGCAAATCCAGTGTATCATGAATGAACGAAACATATTGAGCTTGATTGTCACACTGTTCGTGAAAGAATAGAAAGAGGAGAGATCAAGACAGGATATGTGCAAACAGGGGAACAAATAGCGATATGTTTACTAAGCCACTGAGGGCACCCATCTTCAGTTCACTTCTTGGCAAGTTGAGCGTTAGTGATATCCACTCTCCAACTTGAGGGGGAGTGTTAAAGGAAAGAAATATGTCAATGATTCTATATTGAGCGAGAAATACGTCAATGATTCTATATTGAGTGATTGTAGGAATTGATTGTAATTAGCTTAGAATTAGCATGTATTTACCTAGAATAGAAGTATCAACCGTGTATAAAGATTTGAGTCTGTAAGCAATACAGAGATCATTCAATACAATATCAAATTCTTTCAAAAAGGAGGAGAAATAGTTCCTTATCCTTGATATGGTGCGCCCTCTCTTTATCTCTCTCCTAATCACTACATGGGTAGAGAATTTGCAACTAGCGAAGTCCCTATCCAAGGCAGACTCCACTTGCACAATATTCTTTCTTGAGGCTTTTGTGATATCGATTTGACGAGAACTTACAAGTATCAGAGAGTTTTTCACTGCCTTTGCACTAGTACGTACTGTCTTCTATTAAGGCTTTTGTGAGTGACTTAAGGCTCGTTTGGGACTGCTTCTTTAGGAAATACTTCTGCTCATAAACGCTTCTAACAAAAGCGTTTTTATTATAAAGTTGTTGAAAATTTCATATAAAAAAATCGAAGTGCTTCTCCAGAAAGCGCTTCTATGGCCTAGAAGCACTTCTAAACTTTTTTGCCAAACGCCATCAGAAGCACTTTCAGTTGTCAGAAAGTGCTTTTAGCCCTTCCAGAAGCACTCCCAAACAAGCCCTTAGATTTCAAGTAAATGTACATATCCTAAATGTAGAGGTTCGCGGGTAAATGTATAGATCCTAAATGCAGAGGCTCCGAGCATTTATGATGGAATCAATCCAATTTCATTGATGAATATATAAGTTGGTTTTTTGTTGTTGTCAAACTCGATGTTGAGATGAGAGTACTTTATTAATAAAAAGTTCTTGGCATACCTAAATAAATGAGTATGATTAGGATTAACCACCGAAATAACTTGTTTACGAATGGGTTTAGCCCACTATTAAGTTCTTAATCCTGTAAAACAATAATAACAAAAATATTCGGATATAAAAGAAAGAAAAATGATATATCAAACATGGTCCCTACGTGACTACGTCAGATCCGGAAAATCTTCCTTTAATGGAGTCCATTTGTCATACACTTGATGAGTTTTACAGGTCATCTAATCCAATCACTCGAAAAATTTGGCTACAAATTTTTTATTTAATATTAAATTGATAAACACTTAAATAATTACAATCATTACAAATGACTTATCGATATAATAATTCTTAAATGAGGACATACAAAATATTCGAATCATCATATTATAGAAGAGATTTTCTATATAAACCCCACACTTCTCTTAGTTCACCCCAATACTTAAATCATTAAACTGTAAGTTTTATTATTGTGTAAAAAGACAAAAAAGTCGTCCAACTTAATACTTAACCATAGTACATCTATACACACGCCCCACACACCCCACCACTCTTTATATTAAGTTTTACAAAAATACACACTCCTATTGTCAGAGACGTAGGGCATTGACGAGCATACCTCTTTAAAATCTACGTGGGAGCTGATGGAAAGACTTGTTTATTGTTTGGCTGTAATGATCTTATTCTCTTCGCTTTGTTGATTGCATTTTTTTTAATACCTGATGTTTTGGTAAAACTGTTCTCTTTCTCTAGTAAGTATTAAATTTCAAATTTGGTGTTCCATATGTTTGTGTTTTTTTTTGCTGGGAACAGTAATATTATTGTCACTTCTGGTATTCCAGTATGCATCTAAAATCATAATCCTGCTGCTGCTACTTCAATAGCTGGGTTATTTTTCTTGTTGCTTTTCCGCTCTGATAAAAGCTTCAATGTATTCTCCATCGGTGGCCGATCAGATGGCCTACTCCTAGTGCAAAGTGCCAATTTAATATTAGAACTATCTGGCAACATTCAATCGTTAAATTGACACTTGTTTGCAGCAAATGAAACGTCAATATTAGAATCAATTTGTTCTCTAGGTATCACCGGTAATATTATTGTCACTTTTGGAATATCAGTATTGGGTAGCTTGAATTTTTCTTCATGTTATACTAAGGGCAGTTTGTGGGGTTTAAATAGAAAATTTCTTTTATTTTTTATTTTTTCAGCTTGGGGTGTATTTAAGGGTAGTTTGGGAAGATAGTAGGGTTTTCTTAGAAATTGTGAAAATTTAAATTAAAAGTTGGGGTGAACTTAGAACATGGGGTGAACTAAGAGACGTGTGGGGTTTAAATAGAAAATCTCTTATAGAATTAGCTCAAACGAGTTATAGAGTTCGTTTTTGTGAGCAAGAAAAAGATTTTGACAATTGGAACACCGGTTGCATCCAACAATCTTTGACAGGGATAAAAGAATCAACTATTCATCAATAGCGGATAATTTTTCTCATGAACAGAAGTGCTTCCTATAAAAACACTTCCACATAGATTCGCGACATTCGTACCATGTCATCTAGTAGAAGACCTTTTTATAAAAACACTTTCAACAACTAATTAGCTATAGTAAATAGTAAATCACGTTGGTCTACAAGTTAACCAAAGAAATGAAATCTTGTCATTAGAGAACATGGTTTGAATACAAATAGCAAATGCTTGAGCAAAACACAAAGGAACTTTTGAGTGAAGTATATATGTAAACTAACAAATTTGACTTTAATCCGAGCATTGTATTTTACTAATAAGCCATATCATCACAAATTGAAGGACTTTTCAACAAACAGCAAGAGTTACATATCATCACGTTTTGTGCAATGTACAGAAGATATATTATAGGAATAGAAGATGAATCTATCTTTTCAACAAACAGCAAGAGTTACATATTCTGCGAGTACTTTACTCCACCAGTTTTAGAATGAATTTATTTATTTTACCATATATCTTTTTAAACTCAACATTTAATTTTGAATTTTCCAATGAAAATGACACAATTTTTGGTACAGTTTTCTTCCAATAATTGGAATAGGCAAGTAGCAAAGGATAAACTATATCAAAATAGAAGGTAGGTTACGGCAACACAAAGTATTGTAAAATTTGATTAGTAAAGATTTAAAAGTATGTTAGATTGACAATGAAAAAGTGAAAGATCAATTACAAAGAAACGGGTGACGCAAGTGGTCTTGATTGTTGCATGTCTTCCTGTGCGTATTCTGTCTGTAATTCTCTATTTCATGATTGGGATATTCTGTATGTAATTCTCTATTTGATTATCAGTTTTTATCCTTTGGGTTTGTTGGGATGTTAATTAAGTTTAGTGCTTTTGCAAAATATTGGTTCATCCTCTCAATTTATATGATATGATATGATATGATATGAATGTGTCCTGTAGTTGCGTATTTTATATGATATGTGTTAGAGATGTTCAAAGTTTGAACACTACCTCCATTATCTGAATTCTAATTCCGAATTTTAATTCTTCTCTCTTTCTTAGAACACTACCGCTATTATCTGGAATTGATTAAGACTCTTTTTGGCGCCTGTACATTGCCTAATTTTTTCTTTGGGAGTATTATGAAAACCTATCAGCATATCCACACCTTCTTCTACACCCTATTTCTCTGCACATTCCTCTCAAAAACTTAAATGCATTATGCTCCACCGTAGCCTTTGGTAGTTTTCTCTGCTTTCACTTGGTTCCATTTTAAGTTTTAACCTTTTTTTTTTTAGATCTTTATTGTAAATTTGTTACTTTAAATCCTTAATTTTAGGATTAGCTGTGGTTTATTTTTATATCTTATAATGAATTGAGATGTGGACAATGAATGCGTTTCTTCTTTCATAGTTGTGCTTAAAATGATATTTCTCTTGATATCTTTTCTTTGGTACATAGGTGACATGAAGCAGAAACAAGGAAGGAAATCTCATATGAAATGGGTATTTTATGTTGGAGGTTAGTTTTATTTTATGATTTTTTATGTTAGATTTCATACTGAATCAATTTGAAAGGTTCCCCTGAAGACTATATGAATTTCTTTTAAGTTTTTATGGTTATGAGTTATAACACATTAAATTTATTTTTTCTTATCAGTTCTTTCAACTTTATTTTGCTAATTCAGTGAGAGTAGTTGTCAAAGATGGCATCAAAGTTTAGCAAATCTATGCTTGATGGGGTTGAAATTACGATTTGTTCAGTGATAGGACTTTTGGTTAAATCCCAAGCAGGGAATGCATTCTTTGCCATAGTTCCCGAACAGGTCCTCTTGGCTTCCCTTGATGCTATCAGTAAGTTGATTAGGGTTCTATAACCTATAGGTTATTTCTTCTTTTATAGCTTACTTCTCCATTATATTAACATAGCCTATAAATGGCAATACATGTATCAGTTTTGACCATAGGTGTCTATAGATAATCTAATCTTTTGTACAACAAACTTGCACATGGTTTGATTCTGTTATGGGTATTTGGTTTGATTCTATTAAACTCTGGGTCGTTTGGTTTCATTCTGTTATAGGTATTTAATAATTTGTGGCATTGACATATTATACTTTTGTCCACCACATTCATTCGCAAAATGCTTGGCGTATTTAAATTGTGGTTTGTGCAGTTGATTTTTTCACCTTAATTCTGTAATAATAGCCATTGTCTTCACTAAATTTTCCCATTTTTCTACACTAACACCTACCAGTTTCCAAATTTGTAGCAACAGAATAAACACCCCTTGATTTGATGCTATTAAAGCTCGAGTGTTTTGGCTTAATTCTCTCATACCTATTTAATAAATTGTCACAATTGTTCTAAGTTTGTTATCAATTGATTAAATAGATTGAGGTTATACTTTTGTCTATCAGATTAATAGAATGGTTGATGTACCTAAACTGTTGTTTGTCCTGTTGGATTTTTTAACTTAATTTTGTGATGATAGTTGGTCTTCGCTCAAATTTTTCCATTTATCTATACTAACACCTGCCATTTTCCAAATTTGTGCCAACAGAGGTAAAACCCCTGCAAAGGACAAGAAAGAACATAAGCCACCTCTATAGCAAAGCCATCAAGAGAAAGATCCCCTTCCAACAGACATCAAGGCAGAAAATCCCCATCCACCACCCAGTAGCATATATATAAAGACCTGTCCAAACTCTTTTGAACAATGAACATCTTAAAACTGCTGATATTTTGATGTTGTTTTGATGTTTTGATTGCTGCTTGGTTTATTAGAATATGGTCAATATTTTAACATGACAAGCATCATATAAAACATGTTATTAGTCTATTTTTTGTAACTTAAACTCGCTAAACAAAGCATGATGCCACTACTTAGATCTCCATGTCTATATGAATAGTACCATATTTCATACATATTTTCACGATTTTGTATACATTTCAAACGGTTTTAAAACCCACAGCATCGCACGGGCACCTTTGCTAGTAATATCCATTTGTAAAAGATTGACAAAAAATAAACAACAATTGATAAGCCTATATTTTATATATATTTTATGCCTCCTTTGCTTATTTATTTGTTAATTTCCTTGAATTAAATTGGTTGTTTTAATTGGTTTTGTGAGATTTGTGAAGGAATTGTGAAATAGGAGAAAGTGGGCAAAAAAGGGCAAGAAGATGAAGATTGGAGTTTAATTAAAAAGAAGCCAAGTCATTCCTTTTGTTGCAAGGAATGTTGTATTAATTTCCTAATTTAAGATGGTTCAAGTCTTATCAAGTCAAATAAGGAGAAAAAATAGGATTAATCTTGATAATTATTAATTATAAGTCCAATCAAATCAACATTATATAATAATCTAGCAGACATGTTTGATTCATTCATATCATTTACTTTTGTTTAAATAACGAAAATCAACTTCATGGGCAAAGAAAATCTCTTGTAACAATCTCTTTAATTCAAATTATTTGTTCGATATCAGCTTTCTGCAATATCAATGTGTATCAAACAAGTCGGTTTATATTAAATGGAACGATCGTGATTGATGTCAACTTGAAGCCTTCAAGCACCACTTGTTGCATTGCAGGGTCCGTGTGTGTTAGACCAAGTCCAAGTCGCTTAAGCAAGTGGTCTCGGGTTCGAGCTCTTATTGATGCAGAAAACTTTCTTTGGAGAGGTTCCCGCATATGCGCCCAACAGTACCTCGGAGGATTAGGCATGGGCCATGCCTGGGGATATCTTGGGAAACCCAAAAAAAAAAGCAAATTGATATTGATAAGTCAGTTGTGGATAACCTATCCTCCAATTTCCTAAGTCTTTTATCAAGAGCTCCTATAATCTAACGATGTCTTTTTTACCCAGGTGAGATATAGGCTTTACATGATTACATCTTCTCTTTTTTTATTGTATCATTGTAATTTATATCTGCTCAATAAACAACATAATACATATAGCTTGTAATAGTAATAAAAGTCCAGAAGAAACAAAACCCAAAACAGCAACTCACTCTCATTGCATTCTTTGCACGAAGTACTACCAAGCAAGCACCTTCAACTCGAACCAAAAACAGGCCAACCCAAAACCTCAAGGGATCAAGCTAGTAGCTTCATCATCTTTGGATGATTCTTCTGACTTAGATTTCAGAAACCCAACTCTAGAAAACTCCAACTCCCTCAATTTGAGCAACAAAAACAGCAAAATCCCACACCCAAAACCCAACGCAGAGCTAGAACCAGTCAAAGAAACCGCAGCACAAACCAACATCACAAAAGACTCTTCCTTTGAGTTCATATCTTTTGAAGCCATGGCCAATTCAATCCCAGCAAAAAGCAAGAGCACCCCAAGAATCCCAATCGGAAACTGGTTCAGAACACTCACAAATGAGTTCCCAAACAGCAGAGCCAAAACCAACTTCCCAATCCCCAAAAACACAACCGAAGCCCCGCTCCTCCCTCCAAATCTGTACTGCCCAGCAAGCCCTCCAGCTCCATGGCACACAGGCATTGCCCCGAACCAGCACCCGACGAAGTTCATGACCCCTACGCTGATCGAAACCGTCCTCGCTGATGCCTCCTTGTCTGGAAACAGATCGCCGGATAATTTGCAGACGGCGATCACAGAGTTTAAGATTGACAGTGGGATTTGGGGAATTGCTCCGCGAACAAACCCAATTTTCCAATCTTCCCATGTAATCTTCAACAAGGTTATCTTAGAGGGCCCAAATTTGAGATCGCCCAAGATTGAAATGTCGCGGAAAAAGCACAAAATCAACCCAAATAAGAAAACTACGAGAGCTGCAGGAATTTGAGATAAAACTTTCAGCCGTTGGTTAAGTCGTGGTGATCGGCGACGATTGATTGTGTTTTCAGTGCTGGGATTGTGAGTGTGACCGTTATCGCCGGCTCCGGTGGTGAGGACGAGGAAGAGAAGGGAAGAGAGAGCGAGGAGGAGGCCATCGAGGCCGAGCCAGGGCCGAGGGGAGGTGGATTTGGAGGCGGCGAGGTCTTGATTGAAGCGGATGTACTTAACGGCGGTGAAGGCAAAGGAGAGGCCTTGAGAGAGCTGGACGCCGCGGACGACGGGGAAGGGGAGGAAGCGGTAGAGGAAGGACATGAGGCCGGTGGCCCCTAGGAGGAGGAGGACACCGGCGGTGGACAGACCAGCAGCGGCGATTTGGGGAAGGGATAGGTGGGGTGACTCGGAGATTGCGACGGCAGCGATGGACTTCATGGGCTGGACGGGCATGGGGATGCCGAAGAGGAGGCCGGTGGTGAAGTTATAGAGGGCGGTGAAGATGAGGGTGGTGCTGAGATCGAGGTGGGAGACGAGGGTGAGGGCCAGGATGATGGGGATGTAGGTGCCGAGGTCACCCACTGCGCCGGAGAGCTCGGCACAGAGCGTGGTTTTGAGGCGGAGGTGGTGGCGCCACCGCTCGTGGAGGAGGAGAGGGCTTGTGATGGTGCTGGTGGTGGTGGTGGTGGTGGTGGAGAGTGAGGGGGCTTCTTCTTCCATGGTGGAGTTTGGGAGGAGGTGGGCGGGGGAAGGGGAGGGGAGGGAGATAGTAGTGTTAGTGTAGTTGCTTTAAGTTGGTGGTGTATACAAAATATCCATGCGAACTAAGAGCATCCACAGTGGGGGTGTATATGGGGGTGTATGTTAAATATACATCCCGAGTCACCGGAATCGTCTCTAATGGTGAGATGTAAATGGATGTAAATATACATCATAACCATGGGATGTAAAATAAAATGAATATTTATATTCATTTTTACATCCCTTGCAGGCGGGACCCACCCGAGAAAAGAGAAGAAAAATGAAGAAAAGTCAACATAAAAGGCTGGGATCCATGGCTACACCCCCGAATTTACACCCCCCACTAGAGCAAAAAACATATTTACACCCCCCGGAGATGTAAAGGAGATGTAAAAGTGACTTTACACCTCCCCACTGTGGATGCTCTAACTTAACTATATATGAAAATTTGAAATGTCCAATTGCGGTGCATGCTGAATTTCATAAGAAAATAAAAACACTATTGCTTTAGTCAAAATTTAACTTAAAAAGAGATTAAACCAAGTGATCAATATGGGTACTGCTAAGTACTTTCACTTAAGTTGTTTACTAAATGACGTGACAATTTTTCATCGAGTTTTTGCCTCATTTATGCGCTACCAAATACGAACATATGCCTTCATAGAATCAGTACTAATGATTAGGGGTGGGCATCTCATCCGAATTATCCGCGTACCGACCGTACCGTACCGACGGTATGGTTAACGGAAACAAAATTCCTAACCGGACGGTTTAATTATTCCGATCCGATCCGTACCGAAATATTTGGTTTGGTTAACGGAAACAAAATTCATAACCCGACGGAAACCCGTACCGATCCGATATTTATACTTATTTTATTATTTAAATACAAAACAAGAAACCAAAGGTAAATACAATCAGCATTTTGTATCACTCTTTTATCACCACTGTATCACTTCTTTATCACCATTGTGTCACTACTTTATCACCATTGTATCACTGCTTTATCACCATTGTATCACTTATCCGAGTACTGTAGCACTTTTTGGTCAGAGAGGAATTTATGAACTTCCTATGTTTTCCAGTTTCGACCTTTGTCCTGTTTTTTACCTGTAACTTTCCAACTGTTGATCCAAATTTTATGTTCTTTATATGGTTGGATTCAGCATGAAAAAATAAAGAACCCAACGCGGAACAAATGTCAAAATCATTTACATAAATGTAGAGAATTCAATAAAAAGAACACTCAAAAGTTCAAACAACAAACACAAGTGGCTCCCAATTCATCTTGAGGACATATTGAATGATATAGTGACTAAGTTGTTTGATTTCATACTTGGATGAATTAGGTTATTAGATTTTTATATTTTAAAAGGATAATTTGGTGTATTTGTTCAAGAACTTATGTTATGTGAAAGTATTATAAATTATATTTTTATTAGGATGTTTTTATTACGGTAGTACCGGCGTACCGACCCGTTCCGAACCGAATGTTAGGTTAACCGATCCGAAGTCTACCGAAGTCTTTGGTTTGGTTAACGGAAGAGAAAATGGTCTACCGAAGTCTTTGGTTTGGTTAACGGAAGAGCCCTCTACCGATCCAAACCGATCCGCGCCCAGGCCTACTAATGATCCTTATATGGTTATTGTGGGGTGGGTTACTTAGCAAACAACTACACTAATTGAGGGTGTGATTAGGCTAATCTATAGCCATAAATTTTCAAGAAAAGGCGCGCTCTTTCAACTTGGAAGGCATCGATGTTGCTCCCTCTCTTTATCTCTCTCCTAATCACCACATGGGTAGAGAATTTGCAACCAGAGAAGTTCCTCCCCAAAGGCAGACTCCACTTGCACAATATTCTTTCTTAAGGCTTTTGTGATATCGATTTGACAAGAACTTAGAAGTATCAGAGAGTTTTTCACTGTCTTTTGCACTAGTACGTACTGTTTTCTGTAAAGGCTTTTGTGAGTCGCTTAGATTTCACAAAATGTGAATAAATGAACGGATCCTAAATGTAGAGGCTCCGAGCATCTATGATGGAATCGGTCCAATTTCATTAAAGTGATGAATAAGTTTTTTTTTTGTCAGCATCGATGTTGAGATGAGAGTACTTTATTATTAAAAAAGTTCTTGGCATACCTAAATAAATGAGTATGATTAGGATTAGCCACCGAAATAACCTGTTTACGAATGGGTTTAGGCCACTATTAAGTTCTTAATCTTGTAACAAAAATATTCGGATATAAAAGACAGTGAATGATATATTAGACCTCTTTCTAATTATTATTATCAAAAGCT